CACCTCAGAGGCCCGTGTCCAAACCACCTGCTGTTCTCCCGCCCAAACGCACCCCCCCCACACACACACACAGCTTCCCCAGCTCAGAAACAGGCCAGCCCCATGGATCCCTCCACATGCCCATCCCGCCCGGCAGCAGAGGCTGCTGGCCCCGCCTGAACTTCCTTCCCCAGAACCTCTGCTCCTCACCTCCTGTCACCCCACCTGGCCTGGACCCAGGGCCTCGCCTGGGCCTCCACGCAGCCTCACAGCCACCCTGCTTAGGTCCGATCCTGTCGCTCCAGCTCAGAACAACCCTCCAATGACTCTCCACTCAAAGGGAAAGCCCCCCCAAGACTGCCCCCCCCACCTCCTCACCACCTCTCCCCTCCCAGGCCACTCCAGCCCCGGCCTCCCTGCTCTCGCTCCAGCGTGCCAGACACTCACCCCAGGGCCTTTGCACCTGCTGTTCCTGTGGCCTGAATGGTTTTCCCCGGAAGAGCCGTCCTCCCTCGCCTTCCTCAGGTCCCCTTATCAAGAGGGGCCTCCCTGGCCATCCCCTAGGAGACCCCCTTCCACCTGCTATGTCTCCGTCCCAGTGGGGGCAACCCCTCCTGTCCCCACCAGGCAGTGCTGGGCCTCACAGCAACACCGTGCCAGGACGCGGCAGGTACCTGGTAAGCATTTGCTGAATGAGGGGACGTGGGGTCCCAAACAGGAAATGAGGCAGGAGTGCGAAAGGGACCAGGGTGGGCAGCGGCCCCCAAACCACGGACCCTGCTCAGCCCCCTCGGTGGTCCCCCCTGAAAACCCACCACCGGTTGGTAGGAGTAAGAGGGTTTTCAATTTCCTCTGAAAAAAAAGTAACTTTTTTTACACCAAACCATTTAAACAAAAGGCAGCAACAAACTTTAGAAAAACAACGAAACACACACCTGAAGGGGACGGGGTGGCACTTGTCCCAGCTCCCTGGGGGCCGCTGACCAGGCGAAAAGCCTTGAGAGCATGGCCTTGCTCTGCCCAGCACCCCACCCCGGAACAGGTCCCCAGGAAAACCCGCGGCCGGGAAGAAACAACGTCACATCGTTCCCAACAGCCAGAAGGAACAAGGAAAGGCAAAGGCAGGCGCCTGACCAGCGAGGACGGGTCATGGGCGGCCGGGCCTCCGAGGGGCCGAAAACTGGCAAGTCCGTAAGAAACATTTAGAAAACATAAACATTGCCCTGGCCGGTGGCTCCGTGGTGAGAGCGTCCACCAAAGAGTCTCAGGTTCGATTCCCGATCAAGGGCTTGCACCTGGGTGGCAGCGCATGCGGGAGGCAACCAGACGGTGTTTCTCTCACATCAATGTCTCTCCCTCTCTCCCTCCCTCCCTTCCACCCTCTCTGAAAAACAATGGAAAAAATATCCTCAGGTGAGGACTAACAAAAAAATAAAATTAACTAAATAAAATAAAAAACGCAAATGTCTTAAAAACATTTGCAACATTTAAAAAAAACCTGGGAACTGGTTAGTAAAGACACTACACTGAGTGGAAACGGACACTGTCGGCCGAACGGTCTCAATTTTAGAAACGTGCGTAGCAGCAGCGCCAGAGGAAGCTGGCCCAGGCGCCGGCACTGTCACTGCCTCCTTGGCAGCTGTCTCGGCCGCTGCCGCGCTGGGCTGAGCGTGGGGCGGCGAGGCGGCGTCTGCCCCACAACCCTCTCTTCACACACTTCTTGGAATGCCCCGATGTTCTATGTTGCACCTCATTTCTGTGCCCAGTCCTTTTGCTGAGGGCACCCCGCCTCCTTCGGAGGCCCACCTACTCCTACACCCCGGGGGTGACACTCCATCCAGGGTGGAGCATGGTCAATCTGGTCCGTCCCATCTCCTGGGCCACAGGGTTCACTTCTGCAAAAGGCGTGAAGCCCAGAGAGCCAACGAGTGTGGCACCTCTGCCAGAGCTGCCAGGAAAGAAGTGCCTCGTCTGGAGTGTGCTGAGCTGAGCAGGCCCACGGACCTGGAATGGATATTGGGGGACCCCGCCCCCCATGAGAACAGTGGGCCTGCCTTGAATGAGGCCAACAGAGAAGAGAGTGGAGCAAGGGGAGAGAAGGACAGGGGAGAGGTGGGTGGGAAAAGAAGCTCCCGATAACTTGGCTTGGGCACCTGGATCCAGCCATACCTGAAGCTAATTATCTAATTGGCTGCTGTCCCTTGGTTCCATGAGCCAATAAATGTCCTGCCTTTTTCGAAGCCAGTTAAAATGAATTTCTGCCCCTTGCAACCCAAAGAATCTTGCTCATACAAAACTCGACCACTGACAGAACAAGGAGAAACGTCACCACTAAGAAACCCGTAGATTGGCTGAACAACATGAACACCCACAACCTACTGAACTGTACCCTTGAAAACAGTCAAGATGATAAATTTTATGTTATGTATATTTTACCAAGAATTTTAAGTAAATATGGATAAACCATATCCTGGGTATTTTTTAAATGTTTAAATCTTTTTTTTTTTTAAATCCTCACCCGAGGATATTTTTCTATTGACTTTTAGAGAGAGTGGAAGGGAGATGGAGAGACAGAAACATCGATGTTGCCTCCTGCACGCACCCCGACCAGGACCCGGGCCAGGGAGGAGCCTGCGACCGAGGTACGTGCCTTTGACAGGAATCGAACCCTCAATCCACAGGCCAACACTCTACCCACCGAGCAAAATCAGCGAGGGCTAAAACGTTTAAATCGCATAAAGTTTTTTAAAAAGCAAAACAAAAAACACCCCACCCACGCCCAGCCCACCGCCAGCGCTCACCGGCCCCGTCCTGGCTCCTCTTCTCCAGCTCCAGCTCCGCGATCTCGCTCAGCAGGGTGATGCCGTGCAGGAAGCTCTGCTCCAGCGCCAGGCTCTGCACCGCCTCCAGCTGCTCCAGGGCCGGGGCTCCT